GGCTGTGGGGCATGTGTGCGGCGTGAAGGTGCTGCCAGGCCCGCCGTGGGAGGGGGCACGGCCTCCCGCCTGCACGTGGGTGGATGACACACGGGCTGCGCTGCTGCCGCTGCTGATTTTCTCTTGTGTATTTTGGGGGTTTGTGCCTTCGTAAGCCCTGTCCGGGGCTGTGCTCGGAGGAAAAGCCAAGGTCTCCGTGTAACTGCTGCAAAATGGCAGGAAAAGCCGTTCTCCGCTTCTTGTGGAGCAATCCCTTGCCTCTAGACTGGAGCATCGCCTGCTTCTGCTCCGTGACTGGCATCGGAAATAGAGCAGGGGGTGCGGGCAGGAAGGGTGAGAGCTCATCTGCCCTGCGGAGGGAGAGAGGGTGAGGAGAGAGGGGCTGGGATTTGGGCTCGGTCCATTAGTGTGGGCTCGTGGCGACGCTGGTTAATCTTTTCAGTGCCGAGCCCCGGCTCTGCGGGGCAGCTGCGGGCTTTCCTCAGCCGCCTGCGTGGTTTCAGTCGGTGTCGACCTTTCTGCTGTTTTGAGGTTCTGGTCTCTGGGTGCCCCGCTGCAGGGAGGGGGTTTCTCTGTCAGTGTGCCCAGACCGCTCCGAGTTTTGGAATCCGCGAGTAAAACGCAGTGAGGGGCACGGGGGGAGGACAGCCAGGGCTGAGGAGGTTGTGCCCGGCAGATTAGGCAAACTGCGGGCTGTCTGTGAGTCGGGAGAGGCTGCGTTGCTCTAGGAGGGGCTGCCTGCAGCTCCTCAGCTGGAAGAGGAGTTCTCCTCGTACAGAGGCCTTTGCAGTGAAGCGCAAAGCCAAACCGAAACGATGCTTTCCCCAGCGCGGAGCTGCGGGTGGCAGCCTCTGCCGAGAACCAGTTCCTTCCCAGTCCAGGTCGACGACTCCTAAAATCCTCCACGCTGTTACTTCTTAAAATTAAGTATAGCTGCTCTCTCTCTCTAGGGTTTCTCGAGACTGAGCGGGGAGAAAGGTCGTGATGAAGAACCAAGGCGGGGAGACCAAAGCGGCCCCGCGGCCTGCTAGCTCTTCCAAAATGAGCGGCGCTCTGGTGCTGGAGGAGGGCGACTCGCCGGAGGCTGCAGCACCCCTGGAAGGTGGGGAGTCCCCAGGGCCCGCGGCTGGCGGCAGAGCTGAGGGCCCCGGCAGCGCGGCGCAGGAAGCGCGCGAGGGTGGGTTTCGAGCCTGGAGACGGTCAGGGTGGGCAACTGCATCCATCTCTTTTTGCTTGTGTAAGAGCAGCTGTGTTTTCCGGGGCAGAAAATCCTGATTTCTCCCTATTTCTGTGTGCGTACAGCTCTGAAGTAGTTACCTCTTCCTGCCCAAAGCGTGGAGCTGGTTCTCACCTGAAAACGAGGGGGTGGTTAGCGTTGCTTAGAGCTTAAGTGTCCCGTCCAGCAAATGTCAGACAGCTCTTTCCTTGGGGCAGCGCTGTGCTGAGTGACCTGCCCTGTTACTGGCACTTCATAAAACTTACTCCTTGGAAGACGAAAACCAGGTCCGATCGAGTGGGTGCTTGGCTAAAATTAACCCTGCCTTGGGCTCTGGTGCTGGGTAAACGGGGGGCGCAGGGGGCGCACAGCGAGTAGGGTCAGTTTAATAACCAAGGGCCGTAAGTCTCTCCTTTTGGAGGATCTTTGGAAGCGAAGCAGCGTGCTGAAGGATGTGCCGCCTGCTCTCTTCCCGAAGTGTCTGCTGTTGGGGACGAGATATGTTTGATCTTGGACACTACAGCTGCTCTTGGATGTGGGGAGAGAGGCTCACCCAGGTTCAGAAATCCATTGTGATGTAAAAAAGCCCGGCTCTGGGGCTGTTAGCAGGCAGCTCCTGTGAGGGAAAGCTCACGCACACCCTGCGTTCGTTAAAGGAGGCGGGGGGCAGGTTTCGCTCTTGACAGATGTCAGGGGCTTGGTCATGCTCTCGTGATCAAAAGAGAGGCTGCCAGGAATGCACCTCCATTGTCAGGGCAGCTGGCTGGAGACGCAGCCCGAACAAAGCAGCTTATGTCGCTGGAAGTGGCGCCGGCCTGGGTGCAGTGGGGTGCGCGGGGAAACCTCCCCTTTGCCGTGGGGTGAGAATAGAGGGTGTGAGGGAAGCCTCATGCTTTTGTGTTCCCGTCTCCCACAGCTCCTCTTGCGCAGGAGGACACCAAGTCCTCCCGGCCCGCCGTGCGTGACGTCTCCGAAGAGCTGAGCCGGCAGCTCGAGGACATCTTGAACACGTACTGCGTGGATGCCAGCCAGGAGGGCCCGGGCGAGGACGGCGGGCAGAGCGAGCCCGCCGAGCCGGAAGAAGCCGAGAAGTGTCGTAGCGAGTCCCCCCGGAACGGTGACCAGGAGACGGGCGGCCCCGAGATGAACGGGGAGAAGGAGATCACGAAGGGGACCGAAGAGTTTCGACCCGGCGAGGAGTGTGGGGAGCGGGATCAGAAGAAGGCTCAGGAAAAGAAGAAAGCCAAGGGCCTGGGTAAGAGCCTCCCTGCCCCGGCGGTGCCGCCAGCCTGAGGACTTCGGCGCAGACGTTGGTTTTGTACCGCGCTGGTTGCCCCCAGTGAAACGAGCGCCTGGTGTGCGTGACGTGCAGCAGCGTTCGGGAACGCGAGCGTC